GTCAGATGGGGAAGGGCATACAAGGGTAGGCTGGGCATCCACATAGCAGGGAGAATGGATACCTTCAAACTGGGGCACTGCTTCAATTGGACCCAAGAGGAAGAGCAGAGGTGGGCAGGAATGGGAAGAAAACAGCTCAGGCAGAAGGGTGCCAGAGCGATAGCAGGGACCTGGCTGTAAGGCCGGAGTGAGAGGGAGCTGGAGCCACCCCAGATGCAGGCTGGACACATTTGTGACATGGGCCGATTGACCCTTATGCTTGAGCGCTTATTCTAAGTTCAAGAATGTCCTGGGGTGGGAACAACATGCAGTCCCTTCTTCCAGATGCCAGCACCAAAGCCCATGGCTGGTTGACATCATGAGTTCAGAGCTGGTCTATCTCATAGGAGACCACGGAGGACCACATGGAGCTTTGTGTGCAGGGCTGTGCCAGGAGAGCCAGGGTATCTGGCACCACTGAGGCCATGTCTTCCCCAGAGAAGGTGCTCCCATGGGCAGAGGTGCCAACATGTAACATGTCTTCAGGCCACAGGGTTGTCCCCACAGCAGGGGACCAACATGAGTGCCCAGTCCACCTATTCAGCCTGGACTGTCCAGAAGCTCCTCCAGAGGTATCCTTGTTGTCCCCCTAGCCACCTTGCTACCCCCCTAGGTGCCCGCACACCTTGTCAGGCCAGTCACTCAGGACATACCTAACACCCACAAAGAGAATATCAGAGCCGGTATTTGCTACACCAGCTGCAGCCTGAACCTGAATGTGACACAGGCTACAGCACAGCCAGCCATTTGCACAAGGGCCTTGGTCTCACACCCAAGCAAGTTTCTCAGCCTTCGAAGTATGGCATATGGGCACAGGCTCGTGGGGAAGCCTGTCCGACAGGCCCAAGGACTCAGACTCAGGAGCAGGTAAACAAGCCCATGTGTGGCCCACACCTGCTCTCACTGCTATTCAAGGCTCCCCTGCAGCACAGCAGCATCTAATGGCTGGACAATAAGCTCTTGAGTTACCAAGTGCCCAGCTAAGTTCAGAGGCCCATGGAGCTGTCCCCCACAACCCCAGGGCCAGGGCCAGAACACAAGGTTCAGCATGGCCACCCCACTCTTCTCCTTACCCCAGTGCTGGGCACCACCTGAGCCAGCTCCCAAGATGCACAGCATAGCTGGTGCCCACCCTGAGCCATGTGTTCTGCTGGGATCAGGCAAAACGTTCCATCAGGAACAGAGGGTGAACATGCCACATGCCTGACATTGGAGAAACCAGAGACAGCCAATCAACACAGCTCACCAAAGAAGGCTAGTACAAGATAGAAGGGCCAAGCTGAAGGTAGTGTGTGGCACCCATACCATCTGTGCCCAGATCCTCTGGGGAGCAGACCTGGTGAGAGCCCAGGTCTCTGGGCCTGTCTCAGCCTACAGTGCCTCGGTGGGGACACAACAGTGATCTTCTAGGGTCACTGCACACAGCAGGGAACCATTACAGAAGGCGTACCCAGCAGCATTCAGAGGCACCAAGAGACCTTTCCCTCTTCCCCCATGTCACACAGCAGGTTTGTGAGCAGCCAAAGTTCCAAAATTGACCCAAGGGCTCTCCCGAAAATCACACATTCCAGACTCTAGAGCCTTCTCTAGGCCTCCAGAAACACCTCTCCTGCTGAGGGCCAGCTGTCACTTGGGAAGAGCCCACAGTTCAGTCAGCACTTATGGCTCTCCTCGCTCATGTGGCCTATTCCCAGGGCAGCCACTGAGCAGATCCTGGGCCAGGGAGGGCCACCAGTCAGGGCAGCCCCAGCACCTTCACTCTCCACTACAGCTGCTTAGCTCCCCAGTTCCAGCCACTCAGCACAGTGCAGGCCAGTTTGAGCTAGCCAGGCTCAGAGACCTGGTCACCAGCAGCTCTGGCCAGAAGCCGGACCACAACTGTCGCTGCTGGGCCAGCCCAGCTGGGGGATAGAGTGGACCAGGGACCAGTACCACGTGGCCTATCACCATCCCGGGTCCAGCTCCAGCCTATCCACAGGAGGTGAGACAAAGAGATCCCTGAATTCCCCTGGGACCTCCCACCATTGGCTCGGCTCGCTGGACTTTCACTCAAGATCCAAAAAAAGGGAGAGCTCTTCCACTTGGGAGGATCAAAAGGTTGTGGGCAAGGGAAAAGGGGCTGAGAGTGAGTAAGTCTTGAAAGCCAAGGGGCAACTGCTGGCTCTCGGAGCCAGCTGTGAAAAACTCTCCCCCAGCTGGCACCAGCACCTGATACAAAGGGTGGAAGCCAGTGCCTTCTCCCCACCCAGGCATGCTGGGGTCCTCCCAAGCAACATCAAGCCAGAGCAGGAAGGACTTGGGGATCCAGAGATTGGGGAAATTGCAACCCAGACTAGTCCTAGACTGCCTACTACAAAAATGGTCCCCTCGCCCAGATGCCCAATTTAAATATATAAACAGGGAAACATGGCGCCATTGGCCACTTCCAGCTTTTATATCAAGTGCAAATAAAATAGAAAAGGAACCTGCTTCACTTCTCAAAAAGACTGGGAAGTGGAGGTGGAAAGGGACAAAGGACAGGACACTGAGTAATGACCAGAAGTCTACCCCTGTCGCTACCTGGCAGGGGGCATATTAGACCCACCTGGGCCAAATACCCTCTCGACAGCACTGAGCTGTCAGAGGGCTGGGGGTGGGGAAAAAGGGTGCATAGACCTCCTAGAGCACTGGTAGCCTAGGAAGCCAGGCCTGGCATGAGTGAGCAGCCCGGGGCATGGCACATTCAGAGGACACTGGGTTAGGCTGGGGCTGGAGAAGATAACCAGACTGTGGGGCTTGTTGCAGGTGGCTCATCCAGATCAGAGATGGGGAGGTTGAGTGGGACAAGAGGCAATCCCCTTTCTTCTTCCTGTGCTTCAGAATGAAATTGACAAAATGAAAGGATTCTTCCATTGATGGAAATAGAAAAGCAGATGTACACAGGAGTTCAGGGAGTAGAAGGACAAGCTTGGGGGTGTGGCTGCCAAAAGAACAGGGAAGGAGCTCTTGAGCTCAGAGGACTGAGCCCAGGGAGCTTGGGAATGAGGGGAGCAGCAGCTGTGGTGGGAATGGTCAGCTTGAGAGGGTGGGTTGAGGGGAAACTGAGGGGGGGACGCGGAGGAATCTGGAAAAGAGAAAAAGAATGTAAGCACAAGCGACTGAGAGCAGGGAAGTAAGGTGGGTCAGAACACGGAAAAGGGGGATTCAAAGCAAGAAATAAAGTCCTGAGTGGAAGACAACGAGAAGCTTCGGAGCAGGAGCAGGCGCTGAAGTCCCGCCGGGCGAGAAAGGCGGATGTGAGGACCGGAGAGGGTTCTCGGGCGCCAGGCATCCCCAGCCCCCGGGCCTGGCCTCCTGGGAGTCCAGGAGGCTGGGGGCCCCGCAGCAGGGGCTGGAGCCCCGGGCTGGGCCGGGACGGGGTCGGCCGGCAGCCCTACCTGGTACACGGAGGCCTTGGGCAGGTCCAGGCACACGGTGCAGCACAGCACCGAGTAGAGCCGCTCCTCCAGCTTCCCGCTGCCGGCCGCCGCCGCCGCCGCCGCCGCCTCGGCTGCCTCGGCCGCCCGCAGCCGCTTCTTGGGCGGCGCGTCAGGGTCGCCCGCCGCCTCCTGCAGCTGCAGCTGCCGGGCGCCGGCCAGGCCCGCTTCGTCTGGGAGCCCCGGCCCCGCCGCCTCGCCCAGAGCTGCCGCCGCCGCCGGCCCCGCTGCCGCCCCGGCCCCAGCTCCGACCCCGACCCCGACCCCGACCCCGGCCGGCACTGCACCCGCTGGCCCAGCGGCCGGGCCGCCCCCGCCGGCCTCCTCCGCGCCGGACATCGCGGCCGGCCGGCCCGGCGGCGGGTGCCGGCACGCTCCCGCAGCTAGAAGTCAGGGACGCCGCGCGCTTCTGCTGCCCTCTCGCCGCCGCCGCCGCGACCCCGCAGCCCCGCTCCCTGCGCCGCCGGCTCAAAGGGTCCGGCCCGCGCGTCGCCCCGTAGCCGCCGCTGCCGCCGACCCCGGCGCGGCCGCCATCTTTGTTTTCGCTGTGCGCTCCCCCCCGCGGCGGCCGCAGCCACCGCCCCCTCCTCCTCCCCGTCACGTGAGCTCCCTACCGGGCCAATGGGAGCGCCGCTTGGAGCACGGCGGCGCGCCGACCAGAGCCAATGGGCGCGCGAGGGCTCGCCCTTTGCAGAAAGAGGGCAGAAAGGGGGCTAGATACGGTGCGAACCGCGGTGGGGCGCGCACCTGGGGGCGGGGAAGCCTACGCTAGAGGGGACGTCAGGTTAGCACCCACAACCTGCAAGTTTAGCCGGGTGGAGAGAACTCCCTTGGACCTCTAGGTTGGGGTGTGCCTGCCTTTTTGTCCCCCAAGACTCAGGTTTGTGTGTGCGGGGCTCTGCCCTTGCTAGCCTGAGGGGCAGGGCACGAACGAAAACTGCCCCTCTGTCTTGTGCAGGACCGCGGGACGCAAGCGGACTTACCAGGGAGGGGGAACTCTGGACCCCTAATCTACCGGAATCTAATCCACTGCTCTGCCAAACCCCGTTTCCTAACCCTGTGGTTGGAGGCTGAAGGGGTCCATGGAAGAAAGTGAACAGGTCTTAGGGAACAGGACTTGGCTCCCATAGGCCGAGGGCAAACAGGTAGAAGTCAAGTCGGCCCTGGGAAGGGATGTGCGCTTCTGGGAACTGCTGTGGTACAGCCCTCCCCTGCCTCCACCCCATTCATCAGTCCGTGAAGGTCACTGCCCCAGAGGGCCACCTGCCAGGCCAGCAAGGATATTTGGAACTCTACCATGTGCCAGGGGATGGTGGGCCCAGGACTATGCCTTCTTAGCCCTGAGGCTTTCCTGACAAAGGTGCCAGAAGGAGGCCAGGTTGGGTGAGGCCCCAAGCTACTTTGGGCACATCCCCTTCCTTTGTCCAGGGAAACCAGTTGCTGCCCTGGGGGCATTAGGGAGCTCACTTAAGGATCTCTCAGTCCTTCTCATGAATGGGCAGATTCCATATTCCTGTGAAATTTCTAAGGTTTATTGGAGACCAGGCCTCTCTCTGGACCCACAAACACGTCAAGCCCCAAATCAGGCACCAACATGTGTCTGGGACCCCATCCCCTTCACTCTGGTCTAGGCAAGTCCCCACATGTGGCCAGACAAGGGACAGCACCCAGACTCTGACTCTGACCAGTCAACCTGCAGCAAGCCCACTTTGGGAAGGAAGAGTCTATCCCTAGGAGAGAAGGCCCCAAGAGGATGCTGTTGGGAGGGAAAGCAGTTGGCAGAGCAGAAGCCCTGCTTTGCTGCATCTGTCATTCCCACTGCAGGCACTGTGTGTGCAGGGCCCGGCAGTAGGCCCAACTGCCCGCAGCCAGGGCCCAGCGACAGACATCCTCCTTCGGCAGCAGTAGCAGCCTGTCTTCCTCCAACCGGCTCAGGAGACCAGCCACAGCCAGCATCACACCTCCCCACATCCCATAAGTGTTGGCTGTGAAAACAGCCACAATGAGGATGGTCACTGCGACCACCAACAGCATTGCCTGACCAGCCACAGAGCGGCCCTCAGGGCCGAGGTGGTCACCAGCCACTGCTAGCACCATGCCTCCTCCCAGGAGCAGGTTGGCAGAGGATCGGTCCCCGTTCACCCAATGGAAATCAAAGGCCAGAAGGGGCAGGCCGATGACAGTGGCCACCCAGGCTCCAGCAAGACAATCTTCATGTGTGCCCAGTCCTGGGGCCAGCATGGTGGTGGCAGCCAAAACCTGGAGCAGGAAGCCAGCAGCAGCCCCTCGACTCACCTGTCAACATAGGGAAAAGAGGCCAGGGGCCACCTCTTTAAACAGCAAAGAGTTTAGGGCTCTCATGGAAGCCTGGTCCTAGACTCACCTCCCACCACCCTTTTCCTGAACCAGGAAACTAAGTCCTTGGGGTTTGGGAGGAGTGGGGTATGTTCCTACCCAAACCCAGGGTACTCACCTGGGCGGTGCTCACTGCTGAGTGCAGAGACACCACTCCCAGCGCCAGGTGGGATAGGGCCGTGCTCCATTCACCCCCCGGCTTGGGGGCCATGGCACCTGGGCAGTAGTAAGTTTGAGAAGACAGGAAGCTCTTCAACTTTCGAGAGAAAAAAAGCGCAGAAGCCGGCGACCTAGAGCCCTAAGGGCGGCTTTCCAGGACTCTCAGGTTCCAGGGCCTCATTACTAGACGTTGGGTAGGTTCAGTCCTAAACTTTCTGGCCCCCTGAGGCCACTGGGTACACCTGTGGGAAGAATAACCTAATTCAGCCGGGAAAAGGGGCAAGGTGGTTGGGGGTCTAGGCTGGGTGGGCGAGGGCGCCCGGCCTTCGGAAGGGGAAGCGGCGAGGCGTGCAGGCCCACACAGGGCCTCGGCCTGGTCCCTCCGCTCGGGTAGGCGCCGTCCTGGGAGGCCCGGCCCAGGGGAAGCGACGGCATAGGCCTCTGGGCAGCCGGCGGTGCGCAGTGCCTGGGCTCCTTGCCGCAGCGCAGCAGCAAGCCGAGGCCGAAGGCTGCCCACCGCCGCCAGCCCCGCCTCCCCAGCTAGCCCTAGGTGGCCGGGGCTAGCGCGGTCGGGAGCCGCCACCAGCGAGAGGAGCGGCGGCTAGAGCGGCCAGGGCGGGGCCGGTGGGAGGCCTTGGGAAGGGGTGGGGTCGAAAGGGAGGAGCGGGGGACCTGGAGAAGGCGCCAGGTTTGGGTGGGTGTGTGGGCACAGTCGTTCGGAAGGATCCATGATCAGTAGAGCCCGAGCGGGGCTGCGTGGGGAGGGGGCCCAGGTGGGGCACGGTGGGAAGGGGGCCGGGCCGGGGCAGTTACACCCAGAGTGCAGGGTTCCGTGAGGAGGGGGTGCGGGAGCTGAGGGCTCTACCGGCCCCCGGGTCTCCGCGACGTTGGGGTTCGGGTCGGGGCCGTGGGAAGGGGCGGGCCCTCCGGGGTGCTCCAGCGGGGACACCTGTTTCTGGCACCCTTGTCCCCGCGCCCGCCCCTCGGCGAGCGCCCTCCGCCCGTGGGAGCCGGGCCGTGGGGGCGGCCGTCGCGAGCATGCGCACCGGCACTGCAGCGGGCGGGTGCGGAGTCGGGGCGCGGGGACGCGGGGCGGCGCGAAGCGGGGCCCTCTGCCGCCCCGCGCTCCCATGTACGCCTTCTATTCGCTGCTCATTTATATCTTCTACAGCCTCTTCCGCAGGGATGGCGGAGCAGCGGCGGCCGCGGACCCCGGGGATCCCGTCCAGGTGAGCGGGGGTGGGCCTGCACTGTAGTCTACCAGCCCCCCACCCCCACCCCCAGATCGGGTCGGGGCAGGCTCGCATGGCTCACGTCCTCAGGTCGCCAACGTGGGGAGCGGGCCGTGCTGAGAACCCTCGTCTTGGTTCAGGTGTTGGAAGCATAGACTTTGGGCCCCAACCCCTCTGGCCCAATTCCCAGAGGGAAGGAGCCCCCTCCTCAGGGTCGGGCCCTACTCCCTCCCTAGAGAGCCCGCTGCAAGCCCAGAGGTCGCCGTCGCCCCGACCAGCCCACGCCAGAATTGTGGACAGAGCTGACCAACCTGACCGGTAGGTGCGGCCCGGGAGCCCGGCGCTAGGGCCAGGAGGGAGCCCCGCCCTCCCAGAGAGGGAGGGGTGCCCGTGACCCCCATTGGGAGAGAGAGAAGGCCCAGCCTCCAACACGTGACCCAAAATACCTCCCACTCCCACTACCTGGCCTCGCAGGCTGCTCGGAGGCTGAGCATGGGACAGAAGGGGGAGCCGAAGGCCGCCCGGCCGAGGTTTCCCTGGAAGAGGCTCTCCTGCGCCTTGCTGAGTTCCTCTCTGTCCAGCTGGGGGCGGAAGAGAGCTGCGGGAGTCCTCCCGACCTGGGCAAGGTGAGCAGGGCTGCGGGACTGTCAGCAATCTGTCATCTCTCCCCAGTCTTTCTGGAACTCACAACCCTGCCGCCTGCCCAGACTATGCTTTGATTCTCATGTCCTCTACAGCCCGGTGAGGTCCCCCCACTGTTGACAGTGACCAGTCAACTCCTAGCTCTTCTGGCATGGATTCGAAGCCCCAGGGGGAGGCAGGCCCTGCTCCAGGGAACTCAGCTAGCTTCTCAGGAGCGGCACCCCACTCCAGATGGTGCGTAAGGGGTAGTAAGTTGGAAAAGAACTCTGTGGAGGGAGCGAAGCCCATCAGAACCTGGGAGGTCTGGAGTCCAGAGTCTCAAGCCCAGCCCGGCTCCAGAGGACCCAGACCAGAGACCTTCTCAGTCCTAACTGGACCCACCCACTCTAGGATCCCCATACCGAGAAGAAAGCCCTTCCCACCTCTCTGAAGTCCCCGGGGAGGCGGTGGAAGATGAGGACCAGAGGGCTTGGCAGCGTCTGGAGCAGCTCATCCTTGGACAGGTGAGAGGCTCAGGAGCGGGCAGGGTGGGGTACTGGAGAAAGGAGCTCTACCCTGTGTGCCTCACTTCTCCCCAGCTGGAAGAGCTGAAGCTACAGCTAGAGCAGCAGGAGGAGGAGCTGGGCCGACTACGCCTGGGTGTGGTGAGGCTGCAGGTGTCGGGGTGCAGGGAGGGGACAGGGAGGGGCGGGGCTTGTAGGTAAACCCTGAGGATTTCTCTCTGCCAGGGGGCGACAGACTCAGAGAAAAGGGTGCAGCATCTAACTCTGGAGAACGAGGCCCTGAAGCAGAGCCTGAGCCTCACTCGGGACCTCTTACTGCACTGGGCCCCAGGCCCCCTGGCCAGGGCCCCACAGGTAACCTATTCATTAGCTGCAACTGTTCCTGCAGCCTGGGGCTCCTGCACACCAGGCACCCAGCAGCAGGCCCTGCTGGAGGCCCTCTCTGACTGTGAATGGGTCCTGGGATGGTCTGCATGGGACAGTCCTCTCTGAGTGACTGACCCCAGGAGAGCAGGGGGACTTGGAAAGGAACCCTGCATGAAGTTGGGAGGCACCTGTCCACACCCAGGTGTGCCCTCCACTCTTGACTTTCCCATCTGTGAAATGATACCACAGAATGTCCCTCCCTGAGTCCCCTCCTGGCTTCGTAGCCCACCTGACTCCCACCCTCCTGCAGGAGGAGGCAGAGGCACTGGTGGAGCTCCAGGGCCGGCTCCAGGAGGCCCAGGACACCACAGAAGCCCTCCGAGTCCAGGTGGGCACCAGGCCCAGGGTGAGAAGGGCTGGGGCACTAGGGGTGGGGGTGCTGAGGCAAGGCCTGGTCATTGCCTGTTTCCTCAGTGACAGAGGTGGGGTTGGGCGGGCAGCTGGGGGCACAGGAGATGCAGCTACAGGGCCTTCAAGGGGCCCTTCAGCAGCTCCAGCAGGAGGCAGAGCAGAACTGCAGACGGGAGCTGCAACAGATGCATGGGCAGCTGGCAGGTAAGGGCTGGGGGTGGGGGCTCAGGGAAGGCCCTGAGGTCTGGGCTTTCCTTCTAAAAGACTTCCCTCTCCAGGACTTCGGGCACGGATGGCCAGCCTGCGTCAGGGCTGTGGGGACCTCCGAGGACTGGTCAGCACCTTCACCCAGAGCTGTCAGGGTTCCCTGAGTGAGGCCCGGGGCCAGGTCAGGAATTCCTCCCTACCTATCCCCTTCTCTCTGAGCAGCCTACTTATTTTCCCAAGGGGAAGCCCTGACATTTCTCCTTTCTCAGCCCAGGGAAATTGCTTGTACTAATAAACCAGGCGTGGCTCTGGAACCAGAATAGCTTCTGTGTGATCCTGGGTGTGACCTCACTTCTGGGCCTTGTTTCTGTCCTGTGGAAGCTTGGTAGACAGCAAATCTCTCAAAGGGTTGCCAGGAAGCATAGAGGAGATAGATGATATGATGTCCTTGCCTGTGATTCCTGGGTTTTATCCCAGGCCCACTGAATAATCCTTCTAGGAGCCCAAGGCCACTGAAAGTTGTGGATTATCGTGGATGGTTACAAGATGCACCCTATTGCTCTCAGCACCCCACCCCACTTGTAGCTCCTCCTTTGCTGCCTTCCTCACACCCCTGTTCCCTCAGGTATCCTGGGCCCTGGGGGCACTGTCAGCAGGAAGGGCTGGCACTCAGCTCCCTGCAGGGCAGCAGGAGCCCCCAACTGGATGCCCTGGGCGGCTGCCAGAGCTCAAGGGTATGGCTGATCTGGGGAGTGGAGGGGGTAGGGAGGGCAGGGTGGAAGAAGTGGAGCCTCTGTACTTCAGCACCTGGGAGGCATTCTGGCAACTGCCAATTGCTCTGCACGGCAGGAAATATCCGTGTCCTATGTCGGCTGAGGCCAGGGACACCCTCCAGCTTGGTGAGCGTGGAGCCCGGCCCAGGGGGCACCGTTACCACCCACTATCGAGGGCGCCATCGTCGCTTCCGCCTGGACTGGGTCTTCCCTCCAGATGCCAGCCAGGAGGAGGTGACAGCATGCCTTTGCACTTGTCCTCACCCTTTCTCAGAGTCCTCTGAAGAGCAGAAGAAGTTCCAGTTTCCCCTTCTTTGTCTTTCTGCCCACCTGGAGGGGGAGGTTAGCTGGGCTTTAGCCTGGAAGGGAAGGCAGGACTGGCAAAACAGCTGGGTGCCTTCTTCTCTTCCAGGGTTTGCTCTCTCCAGTTCCCCTACCAACTTCTGCAGGCCCTGAGGAAACAGACCTGGTTTAGACAGGAAGGTTAACATTTTCAAAAACAATTTTTTACCAGGAAGCTAATGAAAATTAACCTGTTCCAGGTGACAGGTACTATTCATGTATAACTGACAGCAGGGTGTAGCTGGGGTGCTGCAGTGGTGGACAGTGCCCTGACCCCACAGGCAATGGCTTGGTGCCCCCTTATCCTTGGCTTTACCAGCTGCCCATTCCTCTTCCTTGGGATCTAGGGTGTGCCCAACTGTGAGAGTAGGGACCCCTCCTTTCTTTGTGGCCCCCAAGGCCGGTGGGCAGGGGAGCAAGGAGCTTTCAGCCTTGGTGCTCTCTTGCTGCCCTGCCTAGGTCCAACTCTCCTCCCCATCCCCCTCTTTACCTGCCAGACACCAGTGGAAAAGTGGGAGCTCCAGCCCCAGCCCACCCCCAACTTGCTTCTCACACACCATCTTCATCTGTACACAAACTTTGCTACTAGAGCTCCCATAACTGAGGACATGGAGGCTCAGAGCCAGGGGGAAGTAGGTAAGGGACAGAGTGGCTACAACTCAGATGGGCTGCTTGCCAGTCTTAAAGGGATGGGGTGATGATTGGCTGGCATGTGCCCAGAGACCACCTCACCTCCTTTTCTACCTACTTTTCTATCCACACATCCCTTTGGTCTCAGCCCCCACCCTAAACTGCAGCCCTGCACATACTCTACCTCCCCCCACTGTCCTCTGGGCAGCTCTCTTGGACAGGGCCTTCCAATTCAATGTGTCTGAACCAAAGGCATCTGTCACCAAGCCCCTCATGAGTGTTCCCCATTTCTGCAATGGTGCCATAGTCTGCCCACTGAATGTCACCCCCAGTGCCTCCTTCATGGAATCTTAGTGATCACATAGAACCCAGAATTCTGGATTCTGTCATTTTGGTTGTCAATTGTCAACTGACAGCTGAGTTGACTGCCCTCCTGGTTACAAGCAACCTTCTCTGGGCATAAAAGTTAGCGATGTCATTGCTCAGAAGGTTGTTGTTGGTGTTCATGGTCAACAGGATAAACATTCCAGCTCCATCTCCCCCTCAGCCGCCTCTCTGCACCCTCTCAGTGCCTGGGCTGTAGCCATCCTGGTTGGGCACCATCCCCCATACCCACCAGGCTCTTCCTGGGCTCAGCCTTTGTGTGTCAAGTACTGCACTGGCACTCTGTACATGGTAGGCTCTACTGTAGCCCTTACCTCACTGAGGGGAAACCTAGGCACAGGAAGGAACTGGGCAGTCAAGCCCCAGCATCTGGGCTCTTGACCAAGCTTCCCAGGGCCTCCTAAGTGATCTTCAGGACTCCAGATCCTCTGTATAGGCTGTTCCCTCTTCTTGTCATATCTCTTCTCTTCTTTGCCTGGCAAGTTCTTAGAAACACTTTCTCTGGGGAGACACAGGGTCTCTGTGTGAGGATCCACACTCTCCCTGTGGGCCCCTAGAGTCATTCTCCCAAGGGAATTAAGCTCTGTTCACTGTATTCCCAACCCCACCAAATAAATCCTAAATCGGGAACATGGGTGGAGCTCAAGACACTTCTGCTTCCTTACCCTAGGTTTTCAGGGAGCTGGAGCCAGCTGTGCTGTCCTGCCTCCATGGCTACAGTGTCTGCATCTTCACTTATGGTCAGACAGGGACTGGGAAAACCTACAGCATGGAGGTGGGTGGAGCCCACACCCTGGGGGGAGAAGCCCTAGGGGTTCTGGGTGGCTTCTGGGGCCAGGGGTTGGATGTGAGCCCAATGTGGCATTCCGCACCATCCTCAGGGGCCACCTGAGGACCCAGGCATAGCTCCTAGGGCACTTCAGTCACTGTTCCGAGAGATGGGAGCCAGAGGGCAGCACCGTGTGACCCTCAGCATGGTGGAGATCTACAATGAGGCTGTCAGGTCAGGGTCATGTCTCCAGGCCTCCTACGTGCCCCTGACACAGGGCTGCTTCCTCCCTAATCCCAAATCAGATCAAGCCCTCCTTTTTTGTTACTAGAGACCTTTTGGCCCCAGGGCCTCCTGAGCGCCTGGCCGTGAGGCAGGGCCCAGAAGGCCATGGGCGTATCCAGGTGGCTGGCCTTACCCACTGGGACATACCCAACTTGGAGACGTTACATCAGGTAAGGCTGCCTAGTGGATGGCCCAGCCCTCCAAGGCCCTGCTGCCCTATGCTCCCACCTGGGGGCGAGGATCCTGCACCAGACCAGCCCTGTTGCTCTGTCCTTCAGATGTTGAGGCTGGGGAGGAGCAACCGGGCTACTGCTGCCACTGCCATGAACCAGCACAGCTCCCGCTCTCATGCCCTGGTCACGCTGACGCTGTGTGCAGTGTCTCCACCGTGCGCTCCCGGCACGGCAGGTACCACAGCCTGTGTCTGAGCCCTGCGGTGTGCCCTGCGCACCAGAGGCCTGGCCTCCCTCCACGGTGGGTTCGCTCGCCCCTCTAGGGACGCTGCACCTGGTGGACCTGGCGGGATCCGAGCGCGCACGGAAGGCAGGAGCGGCCAGCGCGCCCCGGGGAGACCCGGACGGTGCCCGTCGTCTACGGGAGGCCCAGACTATTAACCGCTCACTGTTGGCGTTAGGAGGCGTGATGGCTGCACTGAGGGCCCACCGGCCGCACGTACCTTTCCGAGACTCGCAGCTTACGCGCCTGCTGCAGCCTGCGCTCGGCCCGGGCACAACTGCGGTTCTGTTGCTGCAGGTGGGCTCTCCCGCAGGCGCTGGCAGTGGGAGGGTCGTTTGCATGCCAGACTCCGCCCAGTCGCAGCCCGCCCACCAGCACTGCTCTCCTCCCCCGCAGATCTCCACAAGGCCAGAGGATCTTGGGGAGACTGTCTGCTCACTCAAGTTCGCAGAGCGAGTGGGCCAAGTGGAGTTGGGGCCAGCACGGCGCCGCAGGGTCCCTCGCTCCTCCGGGACACCCTCCTCCCTCAGTACTGACACCCCGCTCACTGGGACCCCTTGCACCCCTACGCCATCCCCCGGTAGCCCTCCAAGTCCCAGTCCGGAGAGTGGCTCCAGATCGGCCCTTGTGCCCCCAGAGGGTTTTCCCGGGTAGTCCTGGGTCTTGGCCCTACCCAGGAGGGTTGAGGACACACCTCTGCTGGCAGAGGCAGTAGAAAAGTCCCTATACCTGGTATCCCAGGGTACAATGTCCTTGACTTCTCGGGGCCCACTGCCCCCAAACTCCCAGAGTTGCCCCTCCACCTCGCCAGTCAGTGTTATGCCTGGATAAATTATCCCCCTCTCCCAATAAGGCTACAGGGCTCTCAGCTTGCTCCTTATCACCATTTGCTGTTATCACAGCACACAGCAGGGAATCCCAGAGCCGAGGGGCCAGATCCCAGCCAAGTGGTTACCCAAGTCACCACCTCTGACCTCAGAATCAGGAGGCATGGCATTAAAATGTTGTAAATTCCTTTATTGTTGTCTTTCCTCCACCCAAGACCATGTCTTTATTCCTAACCCCTTTCCCCAAAAAGGTGCTACCTCCTTCCTAGACAGTTGATAGGGCAGGACTTCAGGCTGGATCCCAGTTATGCTTTCCCTCCCCCAGCCTGGAGCCAGGGAGGGGAGGTAACACATGGGGAGGAATGGATGGGCAATGGCCTGAGAAGGTGGGGCCAGGAAGGGCTGTTCCAGGCTGAGCCCTGCTTCTCTACCCTTGCCTTGTGTGGGGAGGCAGGGGCATGACTGGCAGGGCAGGGTTATGCCCTGCTGGGCCACACCACTTATGGAGTAGTCCAATAAACACCCTGGACTCCCAGCAAGGCTGGTACCTGTGTCTTGAGGCTGCTGTGGCTGCAGACACCCTCTGGCCTTGGTTCCCATCAGCAAGCTGGCAGGGTGGGAGGGAGGAGTGGCCCTGCTGCAGGAGCCTTACAGGCTATGCCAGGAGAGCAGCCAGCCTGGGGCAGGGGCAGCCACATCCCGAGGGTGGCTGACCCACACGTCATAGATACTTTTGTTGGGGGGCACCCCCTGGAAGAAGGCATCTAGATCCCAGAGCAACCTCGAGGGCCGTCGGGTTTCAGGGTGCCCCCCCCAGTAGCCTGGGTTGGTGGAAGGTGGACACCCGGGACAGGAGCTGGGTAGTGGTGCCAAGGGCACAACCACATTGGGGGCATAGATGGGCAAGTAGGACGTGGGCAGCTGCCCCCAGATGGGAGCCCTGTGTCCCCCACTTGACAGCCCTCTGGGGTCTGGGGTATCTTGCATTAAATGGAGGGGCCAAGCTCTGGGCTCCGGGGAGCGGGTTGTGGTCCCAATGACTCCCTCCTGAGAAGTCTCCCCCTCTGCTCTCCTGGGCCCAGGGAGGGGGCAGAGGGGCCACAGAGACCTTTCGGAGGAGAGCAAGGGTGGAGTAGGCACTGCCTCCTCCCCACTATTCCCTGTGCTTGCCAGAGTTGGGCTGCTCTGTGGCTCCAGCCTGGGCCAGGGGGATGCCCCCTCCCCAGGCTTCCCTAGGAGGGACTTGATGCTGAAGCCCTCGCAGGGCGGCGGCAGAGGACTGGGTGGCTGGTAGGGCTGGCCATGCAGCACGTAGGGGCCCAGGTCCTTGGCGAAGGCTCTTCGCGCACCCCGGTTCTGCCAGCGCCTGCACAGGGCCGTGTTCTGCAGCCGCAGCGCCTCCGCAGGGATCAGGCTCACATCTACCGCCCAGAAGTTGCCCTTGGCCTGGGGCTTCGCAGGGTCCTTGGGCACCTGGGGTGGGGGCAGATTTGAGTGGGGCCGCCCGACCCCCAGATGCTCAGGACCTGCACACTGGCCCAGTCCCCGGCCTCCAACCCTCACCCTACCCCACCTTGTGGAAGCATCGGTTGGAGGAGAGATTGTGACGGATGGAGTCTTTCCAGCCCTCGTAGTCGTCCCTGAAGAAGGGGAACACGGCCTGGACCTGACGGATGATCTGAAACCACCGGCAGCCGACCGGCACTGTGAGCCCTCGCGGGGAGAGGGCAGCACCCCACCCCTCCCCCACAGCTGTGCTCAGGGGCGCATTGGCATGGGCCTGCCTGCTGCCCCCATAGAAGAACACTTACAGGGGGAGAAGGGTAGTGCCTGAGCCTGAAAGCCTTCAGCACTGGTCCCACGAGCATAGCTGGGTAGGGCCAGGTGGAGGTGGAGGTCAGGGCCTGAGCCTGAAAGTAGGTGGGGAATGGGTGTGGGGAAAGGTCGGGCCACAGAGTGTGAGGGAGAGTGGGGACCCTCTCACCTGGGCCAGCTTCAGCCTGCGGGAGGGTGAGGCCTGAATCACCAAGGCGATCATGGCCAAGTAGGTGTAGGGGGGCTTGTCATGCCGCAGGTATCTCTTCTTCCTTCTCTTGGGGGGCTGGGAGGGCGACTCTGACTCCAGGGGCCCCAGGCAGGAATCGCTGCAGGGCCCCATGCAGGGAAGGTAGACAGCGTGGGCAGGGGCCTGGCCTGGTTGAGGGCTCCGGGCAGTGGGGCAGTGTGGCGGTGTGGAGGCAGGGCCAGGGCCTGAGGCTGGGCTGAGCGGCGGCCAGACCCTTTATCATTCGGATGGAAGGGGGAGGGGAGGAGAGGAGAGGGGAGGGAAAGGAAGAAGAGATGGTGGGGGAGGGGAGCATGCAGAGGGCTGCCACAATTAGCAGCTTTTGGTTAATCTGGAAGGGAGGGGCAGGGAAGATTCCAGTGGGGGCTTTGGTTGACCTCCTGAGTCCTCAGTCCCCACTCCTGAGGTGCCTTTGGGTGTCTGGGCACCCCTTTGAAGAGTCCATGACCCATGATTACTTTATCTGGTTTGCCTTGGCCACGTCTCAGGATCCCATTTAACAGATGGGGAAATAATTTGCCCCTGCCAAGCTGCCAAGGAGTTGGGGTGGTTCTCCTGAAGTTCAAGACTGAGCAGCTAGTAGGACCTGGGCTACAGTGGCTGGACACCACCTGGCACCTGATCAGGTGGTGCATCCTGGAGGAAAAGACCACAAAGTGCCCAACCCAGGAATAAAAGAGGGATGCAGTTGACCCAAGTGGTTTTTCCAGGAGTGTGCTTCAGGAGCCCAGGCAGACCCCACCCCTTCTCCCTGGCCTTCTCATCTGCAGCTCTGCTTCTCAACTCAGTCAAGACCTGTGCTCTGTACCCTGCCCCAAAGCCTAGGTTCCCCTTCCTCACGCTGGGCAAGTTGGCCCAAGAGTATAGCAGGGCAAGGGCACTAGCAAAGGTGGTTGCTGCTGATACCTTAGACCCTGGGGAGCACAAGGTACACTTTATGCACTTGAATTAGGATTTTGCTTTTCCTGTGCAGCCCCTTGCCAGTATTCCCTTAAAGGGTTGAAAATATGCAGCATACAGTGGGTGTCCAGCATACCTTGAGGTGCGGAGGGGAGGGAGCAATGACTACACTGGAGGAGGAAGCCTGGGGCTAAGTCGGATGGTGTATGTGGGGTACCTGGCAGGACTGTGCTCCTCCCACCACCTTAGACTCTCCCTTCAGACCTCACTTGGCCTCCTTTGAACTCCTGTCACCTCAACATTCTTTAGGACCTTCTCCTCCTTTCCGTTCCCAGGACTCTAGTTGAGGGTTTTTTGTGTGTGTGCCTATCTATGGCCTCTTAGCCCCACTCAGTCAGCAAAGACATGGATCTCTCCCACAAGTCTTAAGGCACCCGCTCTCCACTGGTCCTTCCTTACTTCCAGGGTAAAGCCCGGTTCCTTGGTCTGGTGTTCTGCACTACTCGTCTCTGACCACACTCTCCTCGGATCCCCAAACCATCACCTGAGCTGGTGCCCGTTCGGCCCGTGCACCAGTCCCAGGCCTTTGCACGTGCTGTTCCCTCCGCCCACTCATGATGTCTGTACTGTCCAGCATAAACAGATGGCTACTTGCCCTTCCCATCCCACCCAGGTCCTGAGGAAGTCCCTGCCACGGAGGGGATCACACTGCACAGTCGGTAACCGCCGGCGAGCGCTCCCCAGGCCCCGCCCCTGGCAGCTCGGGCCCGCCCCGCCTCCCACGGGGCACTGCGGCTTCCGGCCCTGGGCTGCGCGGGTCGGAAGTGTAGCGTTGCCATGGCGAGGGCCGGGGATGGGGCCCGCCCCTGCAGCGCCTAGAGTAGTGCGGGTTGACTACCTGCCTGGCCGAGTGTAGCAGACCCACTGTGCGATTGTAGCCTGCGCGAGGCAGAAGGTGAGGTGCGGACTTCCGAGAGACTCGCGGCGGGAGTGGAGCGAGGAAGAAGGGGCCGGGCCGGGGGCAGGGGGCCAGGCCGGGGGGCAGGGGACCGGCCCAGGAAGGAAGGGAGCCGGCGCCGACCCGATAGAGAAGGCCAGGTCCAAGAAGGAGGAGTTGAGATGAGAGAAAGGGAGAACGAATAGGCTAGGGGAGGGTGATGAGGCCAGCTGAGGGAGGAGAAAGCCGGGCCCGGGTGAGGGAGTGCTCGGAGATGGATCCGGCAGGCTTAGGGAGCGGCCCAGGGCAGCAGTCTCACCAGGCCCCACTTGGGCGTTGGTGGCCAAGGCCCAGGGCAGCAAGTGCTAAGGGTCAGGAAAGACTTCTCAATGTGGCAGCCTGTGAAGGCCACTAGTAGAGCATTTCGCATGTAAAGCTGTGTGAATTCTTGCAACCTGTTGATTAAGTAGATAGCACTAGAGTTATCTTCATTTTCAGCTCAGGAAATAAAGGCCAGAGAAAGTGACTTGTCCAGGCTTTGTGTAGGCTTTGGTGTTAAAACTAGAGCCTCTCTGGGGCAAGTTCCTTAAACTTTCAAGGATTCAAGTGACCTCACTTGTAGTGTGGGATGTCCCAGGACTACTTCATGATTGGGGTCAGGGCAAGCAGTACTAACTCACTTGTGCTGGGCAGGGCTAGTGCCCTGGCCTGGGAGGGAGTAACAAGGACTGGTCTGGGCCCCAGGCTGTACCAGAGCAGAGGCTTGGGGCATGGTGGGATTAATTTCCATGGGTGCAGAGAGGGGAGATGTGTCTGGAATCTTTCCAGGCTTAGAGGAGCCAGAGCAAAGGTGGCCCTTCCCAAAGCTTTGTGCCTTCCTTTTCTTCCTGGATCCGTACTTGAGGATGGAAGTAAAAGTGGGGGTATCACACCTCCCTTCTCAAACTGGGTCTAGCCCAGCTTTAAGCCCTCCTGGGCATCTTTGCTCACCAGTTGCTTTCTGGCAGGATTGGGGTTTCCCTGGGAGCAATGTCTTGTTTGCAGTGCCCTGGTCTCCTAAAGGGTCCTCTGGCTGTGCTGCCTAGTTCACTTTAGGTACCCAGAGCTGCCACTGGCTAAGGGGGACTCCAACATGGGGCTGAGTTGCCTAAGGGGCTGCCAGTGGCTGCCTGGTGGATCTTGCACAGACATTGGCTCCATGCTGGTAACTATTGTGGATGTTCAGAGCTTTGAAGGGCCAGCTGCCTGCCCCTGCCCCAAGTCCCTTAGTTTTGTTCAGAGCTGGGATGGGGGAGGCTTTGGCAGGTCCTTCCTTCTGCTAATGCTTGGCTGGATTTCCTTGCTATTGGCTGTCTCTTGTTTGGCTTGTATTGGCCTCATCCCTGACCTGTTTGGGATGTGCTTGGACTCTGCTTTCCCCAGAGAGTTTTCTGGGCTGGCAGGCACCTAGTAAGGAGGGGACTTTCATATCCTTGGACTCCAGTTTGGGGTATATGTCTTAGGGATTCCTAAGTCTCTGGTCTGTATTGTTAGCCAGTTGATACCGCTCTCCACTGTATGCAGCTTAGGAACCTCAGTCTAAGGTGAGCCCACAGACCATAGCAGCCCTCAGCCTCACACCTGCTCTGCCCCAGGCGCACCTCTAGCACCTGTGCCACATCTACCTGTTGGCCAAAACGAGACATCTGGGTGGCAGCTCCAGGTTTTTCCCTCATGTCTAGGTTCTCCAGGACCTTTCTCCAATATGTCCTTGGCACATCTGCACACACACTTAAGTGAAGGCCTTTCCATCAAACTAGTTCAGGCATGAACTCAGAGTCTTCTATGTCACATTCTATCCATACTCCCAGTGCTGTACATTCAATAGCTGTTTACCTGTTCATTCATTCATCCAGTTATTGAGTGCTTTCCTATGAGTCAGGCACTGGACTAAGTTCTGAGGATATAACAGGGAAACAGTAAGTGGCATGTCAAGAATTAGAACGGGGGCCTGGTGTGCTGGCTCATGCCTATAATCCTAGGACTTTGGGAGGCTGAGGTGGGAGGATCACTTGAGGCCGGGAGTTTGAGACCAGCCTGGGGAATATTGAGACCTCCTCTCTACAAAAAACCAAAAAAAAATTAGCCAGGCTTGGTGACATGCGCCTGTAGTCCCAGCCATTTGGGAGGCTGAGGCAGGAGGATTTTTGAGCCCAGGACTTTGAGGTTGCTGTGAGCTAGGCTGACTCCACGGCACACTAGCCCGGCAAACAGAGTGAGACTCTATCTCAAAAAAAAAAAAAAAAAAATTAAAACAGCAGGGTGATGAGATAAGAGAGCGACAAGGTAAACACAGAGGACCTCTGAGTAGGTCACATTTAAGATGTGGTCTGAGTTAGGAGAAGGAGCAAGCCCTATCCTATATCTGATGAAATGGTTGGTGGAACAACTTTACAGACAAAAGGAACAGTAAATGCAAGGTAGAGGTGATGGTGGAGGTGATGGTACCAAATAAATATGATAGACTAGGGGTTAGAAAACTTTTTCATTTAAGGGCTAGATAATAAATATTTTAGGTTTTCCTGTCCGTGTGGTTTCTTTTAAAACTTTCCAACTCTGCCATTTTGTAAAAAACAGCCACAGATAATATGTAAGTGAAGGGGCTGTGTTTCATCAAAACTTTTTTTGTGGACACTAAAATATGTCAGAAATTACTGTTCTTTTAACTTTTTCTCAATCATTTGAAAATGTAAAAGCTATTCTCAGCTTATGTGCCATATAAAAACAGACTGCAGGCTGAAGTTTGCTAGCCCCCATGCTAGACACTAAAAATGCTATGTGTATTAACTCGTTGAATCATCACAAGAGCCTTACGAAGAAGGTACTGTTAGCATTTACAGATGAAGAAAGTAAGGCAAAGGAAGTCAAGAAACTTTACCAAGCCCCTGCACCTCATTGCTGTTTCAATTCTAGAGTCTGGCTCTGAAGCCAAGTTACCCATAGGACACGTTGGCCCAGGCTCCTGAGGTCAGAAAGCAGGCCAGTGTGGCTGTGCTGGGAGAGAACAGGGCAAGCAGGGCCAGGCCTTGCAGGGTGTAGAGGCTGGGGTAGAACTTTTGGATTGTGTACTTTTATTTTTTACATCAAACTCTATTGAGGTGTAATTTGCATATAGCAAAATGCACCTATTTTAAGTGTACAGTTTGGTACATTATGATTATAATTATAATCCAGAACATAGAACATTTCTGTCACCCAAAAAAGTTCCCTCATTCCCCTCTGTGGTCACTTGGCCCCCCCACCTAGCCCCAGGCAACCACTGATCTGCTTTCTATTACTGTAGATTAAATATCCCTTTTTTAGAATTTCACATCAATGGAATCATATGTAATGAACATTTTTGTGTCTAACTTCTTTTGCCAGGCAATGTTTTGGAGATTCAGGTTGTTGTATGTATCAGTAATTTATTCCCTTTTTTTGCTAAGTAGTTTGGTATTCCCTTGTATAGATATACCACCATTTTTAAAAACAAAATTTTATTTATTTATTTATTTTTAGGGAAACAGTTTTGCTCTGTTGCTCAGGCAGGAGTGCAGTGGCCAGATCATGGTTCACTGCAGCCTTGAACTCCTGGGCTCAAGGGATCCTCCCAAACAGCTGGAACTGCAGGTGTGTGCCACCACACCTGACTAATTTTTCTTATTTTTGGTAGAGATGGGTCTTGCTATGTTGCCCAGGCTGGTCTCAAATTCTTGGCCTCAAGTGATCCTCCCACCTCAGCCTCTTAAAGTGCTGAGATTATAGGTGTGAGCCATCACCCCCAGCATTTTTTTATTCAGTGGGCAGCCCCCTGAATTAGAATAGGTTCAGAGAGACTCCCCATTTTTTCTATACGTATACCTGTTGGTGGACATTTCTGTTCTTTTCAGTTTTTGGCTATTATAAGTAAAACAGCTGTGAACATTTCATGTATACAAGTCTTTGTATGAACATATTTTTATGTCTCTTGGATAATACCTAGAGATAGAAATGGGTTGAAGTATGCGTTTCTTTAGGGGGAACCATCAAAGAGAGCAAGCAAAAAGCCTTTTATGACTTGCTCATCTCTGAAGGTATACACCATCATCTCTGCTTTTTTTTCCTTTTTATTTGTTAGAAGTGAATAACTAGGTCCTGCCCATACCTGAGGGGAAGAGGATTAGAGGCCATTTTTATTTTTTGAGAGAGTCTCACTCTGTCATCCAGGCTAGAGTGCAGGTCTAGAGTGCAGCGATATCATCATAGCTCACTGCAACCTCAAACTCCTATGCTCAAGTGATGCTCCTGCCTCAGCCACCATGCCCAGCTAATTTTTAAAAATTTTCTGTAGAGACAGGGTCATGCTATGTTGCCCAAGCTGGTCTTGGACTTATGGTTTCAAGTAATCCTTTTGCCTCAGCTTCCCAAGCTGCTGGGATTACAGACTTGAACTACCGTGCTCGGTTTCAATTTGGTAATATTTTAAAAGGATTTTTGCAACTATTTATGAGGAAATTAGTCTGTAGTTTTCTTCACTTATCATGTCTGTCTGGTTTGGGATCAGGGTAATGCCATCTTCATAAAATGAATTGGGATATGTTTCTTGCTCTTCTATTTTCAGAAAAGTCTTTTGTAGTCTTGGTATTATTTTTTCCTTAAATCTTTGATATAGCTTAGCAATGAAGCCCTCTGGAGTTTTCTTTGTGGTAAAGTTTTTAATTACAACTTTAATTTCTTTAATAGGCAGAAATTTTCAAGTTTTCTGTTTTTTTTTTTTAAGTTTTCTGTTTCTTAGTGAACCCATTTTGATAATTTATTTCATTTAGAAATTTTGTC